GGGTTAGAAAGTGTAGCAAGTGACCACCGCACATCACATGCCTGGATGGGTGTTGGCATGGGAACAACACGCGCAACGGAACTGAATCAGCGAGCCACGACATCGTCAGGCGGTGCGAGGTGAGGGCCATTGCACATCACGTGACCCAACGGCTGACACGATCATGAACCATCGACCTGTCAGCGAAGCTGAGAGCAAGGATTTGTGACTTACTGTACGGAGCAGACTTGTGATCGAAACCCAGATTGACCTCGCGCGCTCTGCCGTTCTAGGTTTATTTACGGTTTTATGGCCCCATAGCTGTCAGTGACCGCCTTTCCCTTCTCCTCTTCAATTGATGACAATTGTCCCTTACACCGCATAGATGAAGTAAACACAGATGTTTATGTTGCCGGCAACTGCAATGGCTTCAGAAGTCCTACCATTTGCTGCAAAACAATGTCACTTGGCTTCTCACAATTGTGATGTTTCCTGGTCACAGAAAGGATTTCCGCTATGCCAGCAGTTAGGTAGTGCAATGAATAATTAGACTGTACGGATTACTTGCTCCAGTGGGACTAAGCTAAATGCGGAGTGGATTGCAATGCATGAATTTGATGCGGCCGTGTCATGAACACCATCCGGTGCAGTTTAATGACCCGTGGAAAAACGCGGGATAATCGATTAGTAGGCATGTCAAGAATCAGCATAGTCGTGAGGGCGGGTCTGTGGTACCGCTGATTACTTAGACTTACAGAGTGACGGAAACATTGGGGTCGTCATGGAATCGACCATAGCGTCCATCTATAAAGTGGCTATGGCTAACAATATGTCAACCTGGTTGCAGAGAATAGTGTGTGGTCCGGTTCAATTCACGGAAACCTAGTTTGAAGCGATAGTTGTTGGTGAATCCATCACAATACCTCATAGTCGCGATAAAATTCGGTTACGGGTTTAAAGACCCTTGTCCGATTTCAGCACTGATCCAGTTTAGTTCCGGTCCTCTTTTATCCTTTGGCTCTTGTGACCACTTGATTCTATGGTCAGAGCGACGGGATCCAATGCAATCGGATCTGCTACACTTTCCCACTGGCGATATAGGCATTTGAGGGAAGTTGGCCGAACTGACGTAAAAGATGAAGGAGGAAAGTGTTTGTGGCTGCACCTCGGGTATCGTCGCTCCCAAAAAGTTTGGATTAGTGTATCGGAGAGCATTCGGGGTATTTACATGCAGGGAAGTACATTCGATCGGGGCAATAAACTCGTGCACGATTTACTCCGACGAGTAGAGTGGAGCAATGGCTGTAAACAGAAATCGGCTGTGGGTTGAACCTAATTCTGTCACATGCCATGCTAACCACGTGAAAGAGTTAGAAGGTGGGTGCGTACTTGCAGACCAATGGGTTAACATCACTATAGTCAAGACAGCATAGTCCAAGATGAGACTCATAGGATCGCATGAGTGAGCGGGCCCAAGGGCAGCAACGTCATAAGTCCGCTAAGAATCAAATGAAAACCGCTTGATAAACCAATATGTATATTCTGAGGGCGAGCTATATTTGGATGTAACATGAGGCGGCGTAGAGCCAGTGAGAATTCAAGTTAGGTTAGTAAACCCAACACCGTGAGTAAGGGAATAGCAGCCGGACGAAACATCCACTCCACTCCAGCTATGAGGGTCTAGACTACTTACCAAAGGATAGGTTGGAGAGTATTTCGATTTTTAACCGCAGACTTGTGTACTGTAAAGTTCGAAGGTTGCACATAGGTCTAGTAATACGGCACCGTTTTACGAACCTTTTAGCGGAGAGGCAATGTGCTGTATATAGTCTGGTGCCTAAACGTATTCAAATGGTCGTTAAGATGTAACCAGCAGTTTATCGCAGTAGTTTTCCCTCTATACATATTTGTTTTAATGGACGATCTATGGGCTAGGTTTAGATGGCATACGTAATTTTCAAAGGTTGATTATCGAAAGGTAGTAAATATATATGTTAGTTTGTGCTCAACCATCGAATACATTTCTTCCAGGCTGGCAATTGTTTCCTCATCAAGAACGTCCGTACTTGTCAAGAAGGAAAACATGTTGCTTTCACACCTTAACTTGTGTTCCCTTAGTTATCTACACATTAAACTATAATGCAGGTGGTAAATTCCAACAGATAACATAAAATTATTGTTATACGCTTATACAAAAGGATTCGTGCTATGTTTATTCGATAATCTAACCCATTTTCTGCTGTGCGTTTAGACGTTCTCCATTTTTAGATAAGTAATAGAAAATGGTGAAAAACACTCAGATGAAGCTTGCATTTTTAAAACCTGTATTATTTTAATAAACAGGTTGAGTTTGTTGACTGTCCTATTTTTAGGACGTGGGAATGTATTTAAAGAAAACACGAAACCTCATTTTGTGAGCAAATATATATTTGTTTGCAGATTTGATGTGACACTGCCTAACACTTCTTTCAAAGAATCAATATACCAGACTGTTACTCAGGATAAAAGAAAATGTAGCCCAGATTTACAAATAGTGTGTTTCGTCGCTCAGGCGTCGTATGCCACAGTGCAGGCTCTGTGTATTGGCGAATCGCATACAGGACAGAGTAGATTAGCCTTCTCCCTGCAATGACGGCATCTTTTTGTTTTGACATTGATTCCAAGTCGTGTGCGTAAAGAGTTTTCTGGATTCTGTCTTCAGGTTTTTCTCGTTCACTGTTGGGTGTAAGAAGACATTTACCTCTGCTACATACACCGAGAAGTAGACTTTCACGACCGTTTGTTTGGAGGAAAACATCGCATGCTATTCTCATTCATTTACAGGTGTCTTTGCGTACAAAAGCCAAGCAATCATTACAGCATCAGGGAGAAAAGGGAGCAGCGGACACCGCCAGTTTTTGTTTTGAAAATTTGTTGACCGACATTTTGGTCCAGTGGACCCACTCCACCCCGTGGAAGTGTTACTTGTTAACGATACCAGGTTGTTCAATGAGTATAGACTTTGTCCTGCGCCGACTACTTCTTTACTTTCGGCACTGGATATGCAATAACAGAGTCTCTGGCAAGCGTCACAACGGAGTCAGCATTTCAAGACAAACGAACACGCCATGTTGCCTGTCGAAGAAATAGTTAGAAGTACCCTTGTTCATATTTACTATGGTGTTGGTGTCGGTAGGACATTTGTCTGTCCCCTAGTTGCTCGAGCTGTCTCCGTTGCCCTTATGCTTTTGTTGGCTAAGGCTAGCATAAGCGGCAAATCGGGGACTTGCCCACCAGGCCTATAACAATGTCACATCCCAAACTTAGTGTTTTTCATATTTAGCCTGAGTTCCTCGGTTGGGATCCATTTAGGGCAGCATAGCCTAGAGGTGACCCATAGTTTGTACCCAAATCTAATATGTATTCCTCTGACACTGCTTCAGTCCATGATGGCCGCAATCTGATATCATACTTTCATTCACGCACATATTGTCTTCTATGGGGGAGAATTTCACACATATTTGATTCAGAAGATTGTAAAATGGTCGAACGTTTGCAAATTTGTCATCTGATTGGAGATTGTCATTGATTGCAGCATGGAGATACTACATGATCGTTTCAAATCTTGTTCAGAATCCTAATACATATGCTTTCGTGGTAATGGATTATCGCCAGAAATAAACAGAATAGCAAGAAAAGCATGCATTTCAGCCATGATTCCACTGAATGAATGGTCACTTTTTGTACGGGCGTACTCAGTTGTCTGCCTCCTCATGTTCGAATGGTTTGTGCGTTGTAAGTTTTTTTAAGAAATCGGGTGCAAAATGCAGACCGCTGTCTTTGAGTCTGTGCTCTAAGACATAAGTCTTCTTTTCTCGATAGTCTAGCTCTAGTATCCTTTTGGGTTTCATGGAACAAACAAGCATTGGGGCAGCAACTTCCTCATACAAACCTTCATTGCTGCGTGCTGGTTCCTCTTCAGATAGTTTGCTCTCCATGTGGTCTGTAATTACTGATCCGTAGGGCAATGCTAAGCTAGCCTCAGATTCACTGAGTAACTGCCTCGCTGACAGGTCATCAAGAGACCCAAGGTCCTGAATAATTTCATTAATATCATCCTCATCAGATTTGTGTCCATCACGCGGAGGCGCAATATAAGTGTTGTCTTCCAGGACACAGTCAACTGCTATCACAGTGATAAGATATTGTGCATAATATATGTCAAGGTTCCTGTTGAATAAATATACTTAATTAATTGCAATATAGTTGACATACAAGTTTAACGAAAACAATGACATTAAAGAGGAAAAAGCGTGTCATTACAATATAAAACGTTTCATACTGCAATAGTATAAAGATGACAGATCGAAATAATTACATTTTAGTATCAAAGTTTCAATCATATTAGCGATAATTCAATTATCCCAAGCGTGTGCTCCAAACATATAAATTAACACAATCATGACAGATATTTGGTACTTCTTAATGGATAATTACTTAAAGTGCACTAACAAGTTAGCATTTTCCATTTTATCCTCTTTGTGAGATCGTATAAGCCGATTTTTTAAAAATAAAGTTGGACTGGCCAAAATGATTTCAAAACAATGAGAATTAGCAGGTTAACCAAAATTACAAAGAAAATATAAAGAGTAGAATAATTCAATAGCTTAAATCGCATGTTTGTGTCTTTAAAAAAGAATGCCAGCAGAAATTGGATTAATTTGAAAATTCTTGCGGCAGATTTGTGGGACACTGCCAGAAAACATCGTATAGTTTCACCCCAGACGAGTAGCATCTGTATGGACCACTTCTGCAAGAATGACGACCATATAACTGCGAATAAACTTGAATGAATTATAAACAGCAAGCTTGTTTGGATCTGAACAGAAAACTCAAAACCCAGAAAGAAAAGCACAAAGATGTCGTCGGAGCCGATTACTCCCAAACGATGAGAAGATGCAGCTCCCTCCGATCGAATGCAATATCACTAACTGTTAGTCGCCGCTTTCATCTTGCGTTATCAAGCGTCCCTTTGGAAAGACTTATGGGCCGGATATTAAACCATCACGATGACCGATGTTTGGATAGTCTGACACACCAGATTTGTAAGTCATTGCAGCAAAAGTACGAGGAAGACGTGGAACACAACGAAGACTTACGGGTGGTTGGGGTTCGATGATGGATGCGGAACGTCTAGAACGTTTTGTCGGTGGCAACGAAACCAAGCGTAATTTGAGACCTCCGGTATCTGTTTTATATAGGGAAAACGGAGTGGGGAATAAGCTTAACATTGCCACTGTAGCAATGAACAATGATTTATCACGGGTAAAAGAACAGGTTTTGACAAAGTCCCGTGGGATGATTGAAGTGAAGTATTCGTCATACAACATGGACGAAGATGAGCGGAATCGTGAATGACAAGTGAAGTGATGGGTGAAAGAGTAACATCACAGAGCGGGGGCAAATCATCATCGTAAGAATGCAGTTTTAACACCAGCGGGGATCAAATGGGAGGTAAATGTAACCAAAAACAATGGAACTGGATTTGAACCAGTGAATCTCTGATACGCAGAAAGAGTTCAGACCACTTATCACTCGGATGTGCTGTTGGTCAAGTGTACCTCTAATATTTACACGAAAGAACAACTGGATGAATGGTTACACAATATACTAAAGTGTCTTCAATATCCACAAGGAATATTTGGGTGTTTCAGGGCTTCTACCTGTACTGGGTCTTGAGTTCCGCTATATATTCTATCTATTTATACAAAGCAATGTGGATATGCATTTTGTAACTCCATTGGCGGAGTGGCCGAAGACCTTCCAGCGGTAGAAAAGTGACCAGATCAGTCCCTACTGAGGATACTGATGTGAAAGAAATTGAAGGTGGTGGCGTCTGTATGAAACTAAACGAGTTAGTGATCCTCTGAATCTGTCCTCAGTACGAGTATCGAGCATAGGGTAATAAAATTGTAATATTCCTGAATGATACGCGAAGTCGGATGAAACCTATTCGTAACCGGATATGCGCGGCTGTCAACTAACCCCAGGCACAACGTCATTAGGGAAGTAGTGGTTTCTTCATGTGCTACATATCGTTTAATAGCAAAGAATGACCGGTGCTTGCATATTGAAAAAACAATGGATATGGCGAAAAAGTCCATGGAAATTGACGACCGTATTTTATCTACTGGACGTGTTCAACAGGGACCAAGTTGATCCCCTCTTTAGTTCATGGAAAATGTAGTTGATTGTGTTAGTTGGGAAATTCAGTGCCACACGAATACACCATCGGCGCGGTTGACAAAATCTATAGCAGTATGTGAAGCAAATATGCGGGTATGTAGTTGGTAACTGATCGAAGTTCAACCGCGCGAAGCGAGAATGCATAGCATAGAAAAATGGACGCAAGAATGTCCGCGTTGGATAGACGAAATTGTGACCAATGGAGAACGCGTTGAAAGGTAGCGCATAGTACCAAAGAAGATCTGTTACCTCGACATCCCATGGCTTAGTTGTCACAAGCAAAACGTTCCAAATTATACTCCCATACGAAGAACGGATATGTATGAAAACAAGTACTCATGTGTGAGTGTCTAGCACGTCCTTTGTCCACAAGCTCTGTTAGTCAACCGAGCTCAAATTCATTTCGCTACCTTGTCTGATACTAATGACAAGCACCGTGGAGTTAAAGGACAACAAAGCAAGGCAACCGCCTCTAGAGCCACATAAGCAGCATTGGTTGCAAAATACAGAAAGCATAGGATAAGGATCGTATTTAAGTAGATTGTAAGGGGGAGTGCGGTAAATGTGATCAATTGAAGGCTGATCACAGGTCAAGAAGAGTGACTACACTTTTGATTATCGTCGGCTGATCGATTCAAATGTTCGATATCGCTGAGAGGGATGGAGAAACGAAGCACAATTGCGTAACAAACCAGTCACTCGAGCTCAGTGATTCCCTAAAGAGCTCGTATTCCTTAATCCGAGCCTCCACCAGATCGGTTTGTTTCAGTGTATAAAACAGCATTTCAAATTAGGTCAAGCGATCGGAAGGTCATTTTGATGTACACGTTGTGCGATTGGATTGCGACGCGCAAGCCAAATGTGGACTGTGATTCGCATTGAAGTGAACCTTGATCAATTCGATGACCAGGACAGTAGCTGATGAAGCAACATCGTCTGACCTAGATTGAAATTGGATATTGCCGGTGGGAAAAACTGTGTTCCACGACGAGTTTAGCACTAGTTTGATTTCTGCCCAATGAGACCAAAAATGGTCGAAGCGCGTGGTGGAGTGCAGAGTTTTCTGGCGGGCAACATCCATCCATCTAAGTCGAACAACGTTACATATACAAACGACGCTGTAAGTTGATAACAAAAACTGATTCCATAATACAAGCATGCTTACCTACTGTGGCATTATCGCAGACCGAGAAATACACCCATGAGCAAATTGGGCGGCTGAAACACCTGATTAATAAGTCACCTGCGTGGATGCCGCACAAATGAGAACCTATACTGGTGCTTTAATTGATGATTCCAGCTCCATCGAGACCGATCAGCTGTATGGTGTGTGTATGTAAGCATGTGTGCGTGGGTGGGTGGGTGGATGCGTGCTTATGAACGTACGTACGGACTACAAGAAGAGCCCCACGGAAAGGTTGTATGGGTACAGAATTCATACTTACCTGTATTGTGATTGTTGCCAAATATCACCTTGGTGTTTGAGTGCGTCTTTGTGATGTGGATATTCAGTGAGCGCTTGTCCCTGAATGTTCTGTTGCACAAGGAACAATGGACGTAGGCCTTTAGGCCAGGTGAAGATGTTGGACTTAATTGTCCTGCAGCCGCTTGCAGAGTGCCACATGACGCACGGTCATCGAAACCATCACTGGTAATGGCAGTCGGTGTCTGCGGTCGCTCCTGTACCTCCGGTGTCAACACGGATGGCAAATCGGAGTTGGGCGCGCATTCGACCTCGCGATGCTGTTCGTCCGAGTTGCATCCCAACGCAATAGGATCGTATGCCACAGGTGACTGTCTAACGGGTGATGCTTCGGCATCCTTTTTGTGCTCCTTCTCTTCCTTCGGCCCCAGTTCAGTGTTTGCCGAGTCCACCAGATTCGAGTCAACTGCTTCATTGTGAGCCAAATCCTCAGGTGGATCCATGTCCATAACCAGTGGTCTGGGCGATTCTGGATCATCCAGTAGCTCTGAGGTCGCCCGGTTTGGTCTCGGTGAAACACATAGGCCGTTTCTGTCAATCGGGAAGGGATCATCGATCCAATTCGGACCGGAATCGACGCCTACTTCGCTGTCAGATTCTAGTTCTAGTTCCAGACCCGACAGCTGGTCAACAGGAAATGCATAGGGTTGAGTCACGTGGAAATCTTTGAACGAAATGGGTCCATTAGAATGCTGAAGTGAATGTTGCTCCGAAGCGCTGGAATTCCCCACCCAAAGTTGCAAGCCTGGCCCGATTTCCATATATCTATATGTCACAAAAGATACCCAAATTCATGTGGACAAAGGAAATCAGATGAATAACATCACATGCATAAAGAATGTGCGACGGGGGAAAACATTGGAGAAAAATCTTTCCAAAGTGTACGTCTGATGCAAAACATGCTCACGAAGTGGCCGCTAACAATGCGTCAGTCAGTGTGCATCAAAAGTAGTCAGCTGCCTGTTCGGAATGTATGATTTCAATAGAATGATCCCAACTGAAAGCGTAATACATCGCTGAGCTCTGTTGGTTCGTAAGCTGTCCTCACTGGCGAAGCTCAGCGACGAGGTAAGGTGATTTTCGCAACCACAAAGAGACGCAAGTCTAATTCAATGGAACTAAGGCCAGATAAGCAGTAAACTCAAGGAATGCACTGATAGATCGCTTTTGTACCTTGGAGGCTCATCAACAACGTCATGTGGAGAGCTCGAAGCAGCAACAAATGTTTGTAGGAGACATAAATCTGTAGGCGTGCAAGTTAAGTGCAACTTGGCTGCCCAAAACACAACTCGTGCACTACGGAGTCGGGTCCCTATGCGTCATTAGACCAGATCGTGAATTGGTACGATTACACTACGTCATCCCGAACCTAGCAATTGTAATGGACGACTGTATGTCATCTGTAGTGCAAATAATTTCCGGCTGGGACAAATACAATGTGAACACCGATTAGGCATGCTTTTCCTATGTGGCGTGTGTGGTGCGCGCTGTGGAGGAAGAGAGTGTGTTACATAGCGTGGTGCGTTCAACTCAATGTGACTGTGCACTTGAGTACAGCAGCTAACAATAAGAAGTGAGTGTGGCATACCATGGAGCAATATGAGCTGTGTTAGCCATATGGCTGATTAGTGATAAGGCGGGTGGCGATTACTGCAGCCCAGTTGACCTAATTTGAGCGCACGACGTGAATGATATCGTTTAACGATGGTTCAGGAGTCTGGTTCACAAGCTTGCTTATGTACGGGTGACTTCGCAGGCGCACTATCGACGTAATTCTTTCGTTTCTTTTGATCCACGCTGCAACAGCAGGAGCTGTTAGAGAAGTACTCCTGTTCACATTGTTGTAAATATTAATGCGAACAAAGGCACCGTTACGTGACGACTGTATAGAATTACATCTTAGTGAAACATTACAACAGTGCATTGCAAGCTAATTTAGATAATCGATAAATTATGCAAACTGCAACTCGTGGGTCTGGCATCGATCATACACTGCAACACCTGTGCTCACCAGATAGAGAATCCTGTTGAATAGCGCGTGACTGGTGTGGAGAGTGATAAAAATGGCGTTCATATGCACTGAGTTGTGGGCACTGTTTTTGACCCTAGCCCATCACATATAGTTAGTGTGTGAGTTCAATGGATGTTCGACAGGTGAGAAAGTGGGACAAATAGCAGAGACAAATGCGTCTTATCCTGTGTGTCTAAATCCAGGGGACACCTGAGCTCAGATTTGTACAGTGGGTGGGGTGGCATTGTCTGATTTTACAAATTCGGTTTAATCACCCTTCGAGACGATCGCGGATAGCGCGAATAGGAAAATAGGTTCAAGCAGGGGACAAACTTAAGCAACCTTCCGCTGATGCATAGTTTCGCACACTTTGACGTATTTCGTCCCCTTCAAATTACAAGTATCATTACAGGAGTGGGCCGACATACTGCCAGTATTCGCTTTCCTCCGCCAGGTGTCCTAAGTTGTCGAGATACAAGTTCAGTAATCAAGGATGAAAGACAGAATATCGTGGTACTGCCAGCTTTACCTCTTGTAATAAGGGCACATCCACTATGAGACAAGAGTTGGAGCAAACCGTTGATCCTCGAGCATCGGTGCCTGCGAAGTGTTCGCCAGATCCGATGACAGCACGAACGTGAAATGTCGAGGTCCAAAATGGCAGTGGACTGCCTTCTCTGACCATATGGTACACACTGAGTAAATCACGTTTGCGGTGCATGCGCAGAGTGTTTTTCCCTTTGTCACAGATCCTTCCCCTAATGTGTGTCAAAGCTACGAGCCGAGATAGGTCAGAAAAGTAGGGGAACGAGGTGGTCGCGTTTAGGTACACCGCCCTTCTGGGCTGGGGGAACCGGAGCCATCCACTTCCGTGGTTAGAGACGTCAATCAAAGCACTGCCAAGTTTCACCTTGAAGAATCTTATTATTTCCGTTCCTACTCCTCCTAATTGATTGACGCCTTTCCATGTCGCTTAGCTTTCGTCTAATTGTATCCGAGTAATGACGAGAGTGAACAACCCAGAATTCAACCCATTGCAGTTTCCAAAACGAAACTGCTCCATACACGGCTTGTGCATGTGGCTGTATGACAAAAAATCTGGAATAGTAAACTGCAGAAAAGCCTATGTTTGTAAACGAAAAAGCAGTCTATATCCTCATTACTCATTCATCAGTAGTATCGTACCAGCAAACTGGTCAGCGTGAGTTGGTACGATTGGCAGTCATTCATTCAGGACACCGAGTTTACATTCAGTAGGACCAGGATGACTTAACACGCACAAAAAGCAAAATCATAAATCAGGTCCAGACATGGCATGACAATCGGCTGCAACAGGCTCGCTGCAGCAAATGTGCGTTAGAAACTGGAATCACAATAAGCAGATTAACTGGAACAAAGTGTTATGCACAAACCGTTTCGACGCGGGACATAACTGGTTCGCGCATTACGCACCAAAGTAATTCATGTTTTCCCGGGTAAACAATATTCTTACTGCATTTACACAGTGCAGCATTTGCAGGTGAGATGTTGATTACCCAATGCACATTCTATTCACCTTCAAGACATATTTATCACCCGTATAGTAAAACAAAGGTTATATGTGTTGCTCTACAAGTAGCAAGATAGCGTGCACACAACAAATTCAGGCTTACATTCCAGAGGGTGTCAGTGAAAAAATATGTAAATTAACCTAGTTTGCATCACGTTCCAAAGAGCAGAATTGTTGAACTACCCTACAAAGGATCAATACAAGCACACGGTCATGACAATTAGGGGAATTCGTCACCATTCCCACGGTTAGCCATCGCCACACAAATACTTTTGGTGCAGCTGAGGTTCACATAATGGAACAAAGGAAAGGTGTCCGTAAATCAGATCAACTTCAATCGATAAACACTCGCAACTAGAGACCACCTAAAAGCGCTGCACAAATTGGAGCGCTGATATCCCCTAGTCTGGTGACGAAACATTCGAAAACTATTCACTGATTTGGGAGGACGATCCAATATCCGCGTGAATAATCTGTCACTGAGTAACCGGAGCCCAGTTAACACGACGTGCAGGACTACCGAGCCTCCAGAAGAATTCGATCCTTCGCATGGTCACAGAGGGTGTGGTGTGACTGATTGTGATGTGGCAGGGACAAAGTGGTGTAAAGTGATATATGTGTGTTAAGACCAACCCCCACATTGTGCGCTACATTCATCTGTAACCCAGTATGGAACTGCCGCTGCATAAGACGGTTCGATTTTGCGCCCACCACGGGATGATCTGTTATAGGTGCTCCTGTTGAAAGTACGACACGGTTTGGTAATGATAGCTTCGTGTAAAGTGTCAACTTAGCAAGGACAATAAACAACGGTGTTAACAGAAAGTTCTTCACAGGAACCGCTTAGCCGAAGTCTGTTCTACTGCACCTCTGTTGTCAATGACATGATAAGAAATTTTACTTGTAGAAAGTAATGTTTTTTTCCAACCGGTGAATAATGCGGCCTCAGGTCTTAGTCACACTTTACCACAACACAAAGACCTGCTTATGTCAAAGATACCCGGTAAACTGGTGATTCCAACAGTGATGTCCAATGGACTGACTAGTTGGCTGATTTCTTGAGTAATGGAAATATCAACAGCAAGTCGCATCACAGCTTTTGCGCAAAGTCGAACATCAGCAACATGTCAGACGGACAGTTTAAGTCCCAAAATAGCTGCCACACAATGGAAACAATGTTGTAGTCCTGTTATTGGGTGTGCAAAAGCTTTTGCTGGATCACGTCATAGATTATACAAAACGTTGAAGGTGAGAGAGAGTAAATGATTTCTTGGTTATCTTCAGATCTAGTTGATAGATAGCAGGTAGTGCAAATCGGCAACTATTTCTTTAATTCGAAAACAGTCACCAGTGGGGTACTTCAAGAATTCCCTACATTTTATCATCTACCTAAACCATGTGTTACGGAGAATAGTAAAGGGTACTACTTTCCACTTCTTCTCCCTCCGAGTGTCACAACCTTGGAACGCCCTTCCAGAACATATAATTAACGCTCCCACCCTATCCCTTTTCAAAAAACGCCTTGACGAAACTCTGACACGATTGCACTATGTGATATAACGTGCGACCATCGGATGATGGTATTAGTGAACAACGAACATGGACGGAATCCACTTAAAATTCCTATTGGATTACTTGTTTATGTGCATCTCCAATCCCTTGGTGAGCCATGCATTTCACACGTACTTTCATCGATACGATTTTTTAATTTTACGATGTGAATTCTCATCATCCTACGGGACCTGTCAAGCATTGCTTTTATACCCGTCATAAACCATTGTTCCATTGTTCCATTAAAGTCGTCTGCTCCCAAAGAAGTGCAGATATCCGGGAAGTCATAGACCACATTCATATGGTCCAACAGCACTTACCTCCTGGAGCCACAGGTGACAAATGTCATTTGCTGTCGGAAAGTCCTATCGTGCCGAGTATCACCAAACGGCTTACTACTGCAAGGCACATATGTGTCACAATGAAGGACAATTCGCGACTTGGATGTGCGATGTACCGTCAACTTTCACCTTCCTGAACATAGTGGCCAAGTTTCGAAGGCCATAGAGATTATCGGATACATATGTCGTGGTGTTCATCCGACCGAATATGGAATCATACTCTGCAATGCACAGTGCCCACTGATTCAACTGTATCTGCGTAAGTCGAATCAACATGATTATGAAAGATTTCACCAGCGTCTGCCGAGGTGAAGCAGTCTAACTAGTTTTGAAACCCTAATTGATGCGAAAAGTACATGGGGCGAGCAGGTTGCCCTATCGACGCTGTAAAAACCCAGTCCAGACGCGTAATTGAAACTATGTCTATTTATAATGAGACAGTTCTCACTATGGAATAGTGCAACCATAGCATTACCGGGGTCCGTGGCGAGAAAAACTCCGGAATAGATGAGACAGCCGGTGTTAAATTTCCTTAGTTTGGCTCACAATGCTAGCTGGTGAGGAAATGTTAACACATCAAGAGATAAGTTGCAAATCTCCACTCTTGAAAGTAAGAAAATATGCATGTAGATGACGTATTTTCTCTTGTGGCTAATAGATGGTCGAAACACTAACACCACTATGTGCAACCGAGTTGAAATAAGTGTTTAAAATGGTGATGTCATATGTTTTTATGTTGATTATGACCCTTTCGATCGCTAGAACCCTAATCATATAAGATAGGCCAGTGACCGAAAGGATAGGATGAATGTCTTTCAATCCGAAGGTCACCGGTTGGAATGCGCATGGGCGCGAGTGACCTCGCAGTACGTCCAGTGCACTCAGGACTTGTTGTGCCAGCGAAGGGTAGATGAAGCGTACCGCCATTCATCTTCCTTTACATATTGGAATTGGAAGAATTTTTGTCAATCCGCAAGCTGTATCTTCCTTACCCGGACTGCGTAACGGTCGATACCTGTGGCTACGCGGAGACCTCATAGTGGCAAATCAGATGCGGAGCGATCCCAACCACATATAGTGTCATGTTTAAGCTCAGTCCAGACACTAACCTGAAAAACAATCAGTTGAATTTAAGTGAGAAGTACAGTTATCGAGATTGTCAACGAAAGTACTTCTATTCGGGTCTGCTAATTTAGGAAGACTGTCCTAGCCCCGTATTTTTGCCCCCGATTTAGCTGCGCTTATAAAGAAGCCTGGGCCCTGCGATCGGTACGTGGCAATGTGCTACGTGAACGCGGTATTTTGGAATGCATTCCTGTGGTCTTCCATATTCAAAAGTATTTTCCACATTGATGCATGCAGATCGGTGCGGGCGAGTGTAGCATCCGCTAATGTTTACAAACAAAAGCAGTTGTAGCAAGTAGTTTCGCTGTTTCGCATGGTGCAATCCCAACTTCTTCATCCAGCCGTTAGCGCGTCGCTTCGCTGACACATGTGATTGCTTGGGAAACTCTGACTCGGAACATTACACTGGACTTGTTAAACACATGTCGATTTTACCCAATGTAAACTATTGCTCCATCGCTAGAGCCAAGCAATCGGAGGTGACTAGTAGACCCGTTGAACGCGTCGACCAGCATGGATTTTTCATACAGTAACAACAATTATTCGCTGTGAACGAACGACCCTAGCAGAACTAGACTGATCAACACATGGTCAACACTCTCGGCTGCTGCACAAAATGTTCAACAGTGCACGAAAATAGGAACAGTCATCAGCAGCACGCCACCACACCGCACCCAACGCCCCATTTGCACGCCAGCACCAACAGTCGAGCGTCGGCTACGTAGGATGCCTTGTGGCCCGCACATACGTGGATTCGAACCGGAAAGCGCGTGATCCTTCCGGGCACATGTCGACCAGCAGCGCAATAGATAGATGGACAAAGTGAAATACTCGGGGGCAGCGATGTGTCAGTGTGTCGACTAGTCTCAATATCACGAATCAGTTATTGTGTGAATGTGTGGTATAAGTGCACAATGAGTTGTGATCACCTGATGCTGATTGTACCCGATGCACATCCCACGGTGGTACTCCTGCACCATACTTCTAAACTTCTGCACATGATATTTATTTAACATAAAGCGAGAGTATGAAACATCTGTAATACTTTGAATCTGACCCAGCTTGGGATCAGCTTCTCGCGAATGCAAGAAATATGTACCGTTCATATACTTATTTTTAATGAAGAGGAATTGCTTTGAACATACGTTACGGATCCTTTTGGAGGGGGACGAATTGGTGATCCCGAAGAATTTGAGTAAGATTGGAGCTATCGGGCAAAAGTTGTAGTTGCAATTCGGTAAGTGTGTTGCACAACTGGTAGAGTCCGTTGACACCGCGAGTATGCAATTGAATGACGCCTACAAACTTGAGAATCTGCAATGAGAGAAAATACTTGTAAATAGAGTGAATATAATGTCAATGAATTTGTTCGCGAGTTAAACGAATGGTGGCAAATAACGGTGCAGGCGTGTCAAACAATTAGCAGTGCTGAGAGTGTAGATGACCGCAGACACAATGCCCGAACTAACATGCGAACTGGTTCGCTTTCCGAAAAGCAAACGTGGCCCATATAGGAAATGGTTTCTCGGGGAGATATTTGAATTTAGTCACGGCAACGCGAATGTGTGAGTTTCAAGTGGAAAATATGACTGTGTAAGAACGATTACACTAGGTTACGCAGAAATGTTAATCTGCATAAAACAAAGATTTGCCATATATATATATATATATATATATATATATATATATATATATATATATATATATATATATAGGCTATTCAAAATATGACGAAGCCACATCAGTAGATTACATTTATTTCGATATATGCCTACGTCCACTAGATCTTTCCCGCAATAACAACCTTGACCGTCAATACTCAGTAACTATCAGTTATTCAATGCATCGTAACTCGCCCAGAAATCCACAACTGGGATCTCCTGTGAATTTCTCTTCACTAAGCTTGCAACTTTTCGCACTCCGAAGTGGTATCATTTCACGCTACAAATGAGCCCGAGGATACAACAAGAAGTCAGGTTTCGATTTTCGCAGTACCCGCAGTAGCGAGGTCCACTCCCCCAAGGCGGAAAATGTCCTATGTGAAAGAGTATCAGATGAGAGTGAGCAAATGGACCAACCGAGCGAGCCAGAGGGCCAATGGGAGGTAGACGTGACGGATTTGATTACTGGACTCGGATCGGCCGATATTCATGTGAGTGATTCACCGTTTGTTTAACTGAAGCAAAGGAGGAACCTCATCGACTCAGAAAGATCATTAGTTATGGACTTGAATCTGTAATTTATATCGAGGAGTTTGGCTTGCTAAACATGCTGTAATTTTTGCTGAGCTATCTTTGCCGAATAAACGCTTGTCCCTGAAGGACTGAATTCTGCAACATCACGTATGGTAGCCCGCATTTCACTCGTATCACTTGAATATTACACAATACACCGATTTTGGGGTTCCCAGTCACAATTTTAAACACTAATGGGAGGCTTAGGAGAACCAGGTGGAAGATTATAACGGTCCAACTGTGAATTTGTGCACATAAATTCCGAAAAAGTGAAACGAGTATTCACTTTTTCTCCGGATGTTCGGTAGCAGTCTGATTGGACTTAGTGGTTACGCAGGTACCCGGAGATGAGTTAGTACACAAGAGGAACCATTCATGTTGAAAACCGTCTCCTAGACATTGGTAATAGTTACAATTCCCCCGACTAAACCACATACTGTTTGTATCGCTTCACCATTGCCAATGTCAGAACTGCCGACGCAAGCTCCGTTGTCGCCTCACTGCATGAAGTGTCAACTCCTGCTCGATACGACAAAACTATGCGATCAACAAAGCGAATTCACCGCCACAAAGCATATGTGTGAGTAAGTGACAGTGCAGTGCAGAGGGCGCCAAACTGACAGAAAGTTTTGTGCTTGTGCATGTGACCACCAGCATTAACGATGTATCGATCACGAAAAACTTAATCGACAGTCGGTCGATATACGCATGGACGGAATGGCTGACGTTCACACAGCGACGTGGCACCTGTGGGTGTGTTCAATGGCCTTAGCTAAAAAAATACACCGGCCTAACAACTGCAATTGCAACTGATACTAACATTAGATCAGCTCTTAAAGATCCCCAAGGTGTTCCAAAAAGGCCAACCAACCTGACGATGAACAACAATGAGTTAACAGTCGTCGTGCATACACCGTCACTCCTAACAGGTGGTAATTCACACCATTCCTGAATAACAATTTTCCCTTAATTTCATCATATCCTCTACAATGTAACGTCCAAATTACCGCGTCTTCTGTCTCCTTCACATTGTACTTGTGGAGGGAAATACGGTGACCGAGTTTAGAGCATATTTCACCTAAGATGGTAGCGAACGTGTCTGCTAGCTCAATTGCTCAGCAGATCCTGGACTACTCCATGTGCCAAAATCCACGCGCAGCACTCAGAATATGTAACTGACAGAGCAAGGCTCGCCTGCTTTATTTTACCAAAGGTTCAGCGATTTAGACACTGAAACCCTATTTATGGCTAGTCTCGACTTACTTTAGTGAGGTTACTGATAGTTTTAAATTGAATTGAAGGACCTTGCACATTGCTCCTTGTTATGCGCAACATGATAACTCCACAAAGCATACTTAAACAGCTGATAGTTAAATTCAGAGTATTCTGTTAACGTTGTAAATGCTCGCTATTGGGACAATACACATCCTTATTTTACTCACAAATTCTTCCCCATTATCTTCCCCATGATGTGATAAATGAGACCTCGTAGTGCCGTACTTCGGAGTTGTGCTCATGAAAGTCGGCACAATCGAGCAAGTATAACCACATGTCGCTTGGCACGGCACCACGATTACAGTAGTTGCTGATTTAATGCACATCAAGAAAGCAAATCCAGCTTGATTGAGAGGACACGAAAACGAAGAGAGAAATCGACCCGACCAATTCGCAGGAAGGCGTCGAGTGCCTCATCTGTAGTATTTAGTTCGGTTACATTGAAACTGATAATGAGTGAGGTGAGCCAAAAGTGTCCATCATTTCCCTGGAAAATCATTAATCTGGAGATGCTGCAATATAGATCCATACAAGCGATATCGAACACAACACTTATCCTTATCATTCAAATTAATATTCAATCCATTGAAAGTAGCGTCCAGAGGATGAAGTGAGGTTTATGCGTCCGCAATGGTGTCTGGAACGCAGAAACCAACAGCGCGTTTCTGATTTGGAACAATGGACAGATCTGTCTCGATGATAAAACCACTACTTACACGGAATGCGAATGCAAACTGGCTGCTGAAGTCAGCGTTTGCAAGTGAAATTTGAAATATGCCATCATATGACCCAAGGTTGGTTTGAAATGCGATTACTTTACAGACAACTAGCGAACACACCCACAAGCGCATTCACAGCAGTATCGCCCCTCACACTTTCACAGTGTGCTGTTCTTCATTAAGGCGTGTGCAACATTTTTCGGACTCAACGTATGCAACCGCACTCAATGCGTTTATGTGCGCTGAAAACCCATCGTACACACCAAAGTGAGTCTCAACAGATAAGGTGGGAGTCGGTTTCACAAAATATTCTGGGAGTGTCCTGGTTCAAACAGTCTACATCTGGTAGACATAATGTCCAAAAAGGCGAAGGCGAATGACGGTCACATATCGAGTATAAACCATACAATTCTAAACGTGCATAGCGGACGAATTTGCCGAAAATCATCCAGCTGTGTTCTCGGTATCAAAGTGTTGAATATTCCCTAGTGTATAAAACTGTTTTTAAAAATTTGGGTTTCGGATAGGAGCACCATAGACGGCTGAGTCAACCAGCTCAATTTCAAATGCAATGTTTAGCAAAAGTCAAAATAATAGACATTGTTATGATCGATGTACTGGAATGAAATCTCGGTGTCTAGTCCTACGAACCTCCGTGCTAATCCTTGGTTGGAAATCATCATATCATACATCAGACGACTACAATGCAACTGGATGAAACGACACCTAAAGCATATAAGGCAAGTTGAATGCCTGCCCCGGTGTTCTAACAGTTAGCCACCGTAGTTCATGTGCGAATGATTAAAATAAGGTTTTTATCAAGTGCGGTTGCTTAACCGTTATAATAGCATCTTCCGAATTCTGCAAGTAGGCTGTAACAGTATTATTTCCATAAGAAGAATAGTTCAAGTTTTTGATTTAATAACCAATATCCCGCATCGTTATGGTAAATATATCGCGATAAAACAGGGGCTGTATAGCTATCGAAAAAAATTTTAGTCGCCAGCAAGCAGAGTAAAAGGCCGCATACCGTACACGATTGTGATTAAACTACGCCCAGTTGTAGGACATTGGGAATTGTCATGCCTGTGTTGTACGTCAAACAGATAATTCATCATTTATAGTGGCACGGATTGCGATATTTCCGCCGGTGACATATACGACTTTTCTCAACACCATAGCTGGTATGGATGGAACCTTAGTCCCTCCACGGATAGTGCAGACCTTAAGCTTCGCAGCCCATATGTTAGGTGGGGGTGATCTATTGAGCACGAAAATGCATTGCTGCAGATAGCTCAGTAAAGACAGCACCCCAAAGACCATCTGTGAACAATATCAGGAGGCAGACTGACAGCAGGTCACATCCTGGGATTACTATGAGTCAACGAGCAGGATCCGAAGATTCGTTTGTCGTAAAAATAAACTGATCGTGATGCAGTATGTTAGTACATGGGGTCAAATCTTATTTCGACAGTTGACACGATGGGTAGTCAAGCGAAGAGCATAGAGACGCCGTGTTCGTCGGATAACAAGTAATCAGTCCGAAGCGGAACCTCGAGTAAAGGCATTGCTAATAAAAGCATAGAACACTCGCATTCGTGTAGCGAATCATCTGGCCTCAAAATAACTCAGCCGGTCAAGCTTGGCAGTATGGCTTATACATCTAGTGCTCGAAGATAGTGTTGAAACCGTGCAGTGCATGCGGCTCAGCCTGTGTTAATGACATCCCCTTACTCGGTGATGACGGATGGAGGAAGTTGTCTGCTCCTATTGTGTTTTCGCATGCTAGACGGAGGAGCACAGACAGATGAAGCAACGGAGTCGAGAAACGGCACTAGTCAATAAATGATGTCAACATCTGTGACTCGACAAAACCATAGAAAGACGACGCGTTGCACAAGCGTCTAGCCACATGCTCAGCACACCGGAAAAAGTAGATAGATGGGAATAAATAGAAACAAACCTGTAGCCATGATATATCTCTAAATTTATGTTGGAAACAGTCAAAATCTCTTGAGATCGCATACCGGAGTACAAAGCGCGAAAATCGGAAAGATTCGACTAGTCTTTTTTCTTCGGCTAACTCGATATCGAGTTCAGTTTCGGCCTATTTCTGTAAAAAGCCATTTACTTCAGACTGAAAAGTAAAGGTACCGATATTCCACAGCGCATTTTTAGACACTGCTTACAGTGGTCAGCTAATGGCTGCTAACGAGCTGAAGTAAGACCAGTACTTTCATTGCATGTGTTCGTGGAGGTTCTGAATTTAGCGCCACACGATAACGCTTTTGGATCAGCGAAGAAATCACATT